CCACCAGTAAACTAAGTGTGTTATAGAAAAGTTATTTATTTATTTATTTATTTTTTCTTTTTCAAATAGAAGGGAAAATTTTAAAGTAAGATTTTCTTTAGTTATCTGATATATTCAAAATTGATTCTCAAAGTATAAAACAACTTGACTTCCTTGACGGGAGAGTGGATAATTGACTAATCAAAGTTTCACTCACGACGATAATTCGTTTCAAAGGTATCTGTTTCTTTAAGCAATGTCGTTGTTATTAAGTTAAATCTCAGTTCAAAATCATTCTTAGTAATTTGATCGGAATAGATTTCATCTTAACGCTTTAATTTTTTTTAAGAAATATGTTATAATAAGTAAATCATTATAACATTTATGACAAAAATAATATATAACTTGATGTGAATGTAACGTGGTATATGGTGCGAAACCTAAGTAGAAATGTAGAATTTATTCAAAAAAAGAAAGGTAGAAATGTTAAATGCTAAATATATATATCACGAGACACATTCAGAGAACGAATAAAATAAAATTATTTTTTTTAGAGTTATAATTTTTTACGTCTAATTTTTTTACACTCTCTTTACATTTCAAAATATATAATTGGAATATATTGATACTTTTTTTTTATTATTTTTTTTACTTTACCATTCAATTATAGATTATTGTATATATAATAAGATTGATGATTTTTATAATAATCACGTTAAAATTATATTTAAAATATATTTAATTAATTAATAATATAATAACTTTTATATCAATAATACGTTAAAATTTAAAATTATTTTCCTTTTTTTTTTCTTCATAACATCACTAGTTTTATTTATTTATTTTTATTGTGATTTCTATTTTTCTCTTCACTTATATTTTTAATTATTTAAATATGAGATAATTTTGAGTTTAATTCTTCAAATTTAAAATAAATATTTTTAGTCTTTGTAGTTTAAAAAATAAAGTTTATTCCAATTTCTCTAACAAAATATTATTAGTGATTTTACTATGTAAATTTACCTAATGATGAAAATATTATTTCAAATTTAATTAATGTTACACAATTCAATTTGCTCTTTTCAATGATGTCGTAGATGATCTTGAAAGAATAAAACAATATTTTTTAAAATTACAGAATTAAAAATATTAATTTTAAATTACTGGAAAAAACTAATTTATCTCAATTTTAAAAGACTAAAAATATATATTTTTTAAATTCTTCTTAGAAAATCCATGTATTTTCCTGTTATTTGTAGCACGAAACAGTTGGAAATAATTAGATCTTTATATAGATGTTAAATATAAAAATAGTAATAATAACAAAAATTATTGACATATATATATAATGTGTATCACTTGTCTTACACAAGCTAAACATATCTTAAATATATGCTTATATCTCTCCACCAAGTTACAATTAAAAAAACAAAATTTCCCGAACATTTTTATAACATAATTTGGACACCTCTTTATGACATACATATATGAGTAAAGAAAAATTGACTAAATACTTATCTAACACTTATTTTATAAATATATATTTTCGTAAGATTTATTTTCATAAAAATTGTAACAACCCGGCTGATTACTACACTCACAACCACAGCGCACTTAAAACACTAGACAGAATAGAACGAGTATATAAATATAGGATCTAGAATCTAAATATATACAAATGTCTCAATCTGACTAGAGTTAGGGTGTACAATACAAAAATACATCCAAAGCCACTATACCAAGTAACTGAAACAAACAAAACATCAAAAGGAGTCAGTTCCGCCTGCCAGCTGCAGACTCACCACTAGCCACCACCTATCACTGCTCTGCTCCCATACATAGTATGATCATCGCAGTCCAACCACATGGAAACAACAAAAGGGTAAGCTAGTATAAAAAAAATAACATATAGGAAGATTTAAGTAATATGAACAACTACAACTATCAACTCTTCATTAACATACATGCTGTCGATTTTACAGCATAATCATCAATAAGCATACAATGCGTCGTCACGCATATCATCTCGGAGATCTCCTACAACAACTCAGCCGTGCGGCCTACATCAACTCAGCCTTGCGGCCTACAACAACGCAGCCTTGCGGCCTACATCAACTCAGCCGTGCGGCCTACAACAACTCAGCCTTCCGGCCTACAACAACTCAGCCTTGCGGCCTACATCAACTCAGCCTTACGACCTACATCATCAAATATCAACATACAACACAACACAACTTTACAGCTCAACATATCAACTTACAACAATATACAACTGATACAACTCAACATATCAACTTACAACAATATACAACTGATACAATTCAACATATCAAATTACAACAATATACAACTGATATAGCTCAACATCAACAAGCAGCGTTAACCACAAGGCATCACATTATAATCAACAACTTCGACTTAAACTCAACATAAACAACCTCTAACATCTATTAGTGAAATCACATCTCCGCGCCCGGCGCACTCGTGGTTGTGCCCAGCGTGGTGCAACCAGAGAGCACCAGGGCTAGCGCGCCCAGCGCAAACATGCCCGCGCCCGGCGGGACTTATCCAGAGAGCCCAAGGCTCACACGCCTGGAGCAATACCAAATTGCGCCCAGCGCATGCCAGGCAGAGACTCCAAGGAGTCTCACGCGCCCAACGTACCCAAACCCGCGCCCAGCGCGGGGAACGCAGAGACCCCCCCTTGGTCTCGCACCCAGCGCAATTCAAATTGCGCCTAGCGCCCTCAAGGCACAGACCCCCAAGGAGTCTCACGCCCAGCGCGACGAGGGTCGCGCTCAACGCACACCCAAAAACCCCAAAGTCTGCCACAACTGATATTGCACCCAGCGCGGTCCAAGTCACGCCCAGCGCGGATCATCCAGAGACCCACATTCTCAAGCACGCCCGGTGCATCCAACCTCGTGCTCGGCGGCTTGCCTAAATAGAGTCCCCTGGTGGCCACGTGCCCGGCACGAAGAACTGCACTCAGCGCGAAGCCAAGCAACAACGCACCAAGTTCAAAAATTCAGTCCAAAACCTGCAAGAAACCTCGGAAACTCCACATGCAACTCAATCAAAGTACCACATTTTCATCAAACATCTCAAAAACACCATCTTTTTCAACATGAAATCAAAAATTAAAGAAGACCCCAAATTTTCATCAAAAACCTCAAGACTTCAAGAAAACCAAATTCTACCAAAACTCAACCAAAATCAGCCAACAGCAATAGCTAATGAGTTTGCAAAAACTCATTCTCAACCTATTTCAACAACAAAACTAGCTTCCCTTACCTCGGACAAAGATTCCGAGCTTCCAGGAAGAGATGAATGAGGAACGGAGAAGAAACTAGAAGAAGACCTTGAAGAAACTCGAACGGGGAGAAGAGAATGCTCTCAACACTCAGCTAGGAAAAAAATCCGAAGGCTACTCCGCACTTCCACCTTTTGTCAGCAAGAAAGAGAAGAAATGGTGAAAATGAGAAATGAATATGAGAGTTTAGAGAAGAAGAAGTTGGGGAAAAAGGAAAATCTGTACGGGAGTCTCACAAAAATTATTAGTTTTCAACTTTCAAAAAAATATGATTTATTTTCTTATTTTGGTTTTTATTTTATAAATATTGTTTTATGAAATAATTTATCTTACATAGTACTTGGTTGAGAGGGAATGAAAGAAAAGGGAGAGGAGGGGATGGATTTTTAAAATATTTTCTTATTCAGTTCAAATTTTAGGAGGGAAGCAAAGTGAAACAAAATCGCTCCTAATCCAATTTTAATTCCCTCCAAATAGGAAGATTTAGGGTTTATAAGTGATTTAGAGAGGAGAGGAAAGATCTTAAAATATTTTTAATGTAATATCTAAAATATTTTTATTTATATCATTAAATTTAAAGTTATGAAAATATAAATGTTCATTAATTTTTAAAATCCTCTTCCCCTTATTAACTAAATAAGAAAATAGTCATTTTACATCCTTTCAATTAAACAAATTTTTTTATTCTTCCCCTCCTTTCCATTCTCTTCGATCAAACAAACCCTTAATATTTATCTACAAGGATCATTATCATATGGAAACTATAAAACATAACAATTTTACTTATATAAGATGAATTAATATATATAAATTTTAATTCTTAATTTTAATTTTTGTCATTAGACACTGTTCGCATTATGTAAACTTTTTATAAACAAATAGGATTGTTTTTATTTTACAAAATTCTCATATTGGGTATTTCTGTCTATAATTTTTTTATTTTATGTTTTAGTAATTTTTTTCAATATGTTTTTTTATATTTTATACATTTTAAGTAATATTAATTAACCTTTACTCATACACTTCTATTTAACAACTGTTATTCCTACTTCATAATTATTCTGGTTAATATGTCAAAAAAATTTGCTCTTGTTAAAGATATTAATTATATTATTTTAAACATAATATATTAATATTAAACATTTTTTTAATAAATGTATAAAAACATTAAATATAAACAAGTATGGTGCAGAAAGAAAGAGTATATTCTAAAAGAAATTTAAAAAGACGTAAATCTTGTTTGGAGTAAACGTTATTTAAAAGAAAGTCGCGTGATGTGATTTATTATTGTTTAAATATAAACTAATAAAAGTTGTGTTTTTTTTTAAAATAAATTAAAATTTGATTTTAAAATTTTATCTTATTTTAAATAAAAGGCATGATTTGAATATAGGAAACTTATTTACTTTTATTTTTTAAGTTTCAAGTCGTGTAATTATTCACTACTTTTAACCCTCGAGTTAAATTTTTTTTCTTCAAGTCGAGATGGAGAGAGGGTCTCTCTCAGCAATCAGCATATCTGCATATGGTATGTGATTTGAGAAAATTATATAAAAGTATCGATTAAAAAACACTAAAACAAAATTTAAAAACATCGTGGTTTGTAAACACAAGTTCTATTTAAAATAAAATAAAATAAAAAACTAAATGTTTTAAAACATAATTTGCCAGTGTCAGAATTTTAAAAAAATTAATCGATTCGAAAAATTGTGGTCGGGACTGGATGATGATTGAAAGAGTAAGAAAAAGAAATAGAATGGTTTACCGCAGACATGGTAATGAAGAACGTAAAAGGTGAGTGTTTTGACGAGAAAGGAGTTGCAGTCAAATTGGGGAAATTGGAAAGGCGAAGGTTGAAGGTCTCATTTTTTGACATTCAAATGATGCGTGACACGAGCAGGACTGATTAACGAGTTGGATTTGGTGGAACAAAAGGTGGATGTTAAGTTTAGAGAATGGGGATGCTGGAGCCTACCCTTTTGTGGGAATATGTCTGAGTCAGTCTCAGTAACTGCTCATCACTGACACATTCAGCTAGCTAGCTACCCCTTATCTCTCTCTCAACCTCCAACTCGATAAATGTGAATTCAAAACGTGGAGGAATCAAGGTGGCGCAGTCAAGAGAGAAGAGGTGTTAGAGAAAGTGATGGGTCAGGGGCTTAGTTGCAGAGGGAGCCATGAACATGGCCTATTCCGTGCTGTGCAACATGGGGACCTTCAAACTGTTGCAGATTTGTTGCAAACACACCCTTCTCTTATGAATCACACCACTGTCTATGATCACCACTCTCCTCTTCATATTGCTGCTGCCAATGGCCAGATCCAGGTACCCTTTTGCCCTTTTTTCCATTTCACCCAAACCTCCCTGATTGCTTACTCACCTTCATTGCTGCTTTTTTTTTTTTTTTTTTTTTTTTTTTTTTTTTGTTTTTTTTTTTTTTTTTTTGTTTTTTTTTTTTTTTTTTTGTTTTTTTTTTTTTTTTTTTGTTTTTTTTTTTTTTTTTTTGTTTTTTTTTTTTTTTTTTTTTTTTTTTTCTTTCTTTTTTCTGCCAATTGCTCTAGGTTTTATCGTGGCTTTTAGACGGATCTGTGAATCCAGATGTGTTGAATCGCCAAAAGCAGGTAACTTGCCGTGAATTCAATGTGGGTTTTTCCCTTTTGTTACACTGAAAAAATGTTGCTTTACTAATTGAACGATTCAGACACCGCTTATGTTGGCTGCAATGCACGGGAAGATCGCCTGTGTGGAGAAGCTACTTGAAGCCGATGCTAATGTATGAAAATTTTGATTTTTTTGTTTTTCAAATGATGTTTATTCCAATGATTCCTCATTTCACTGGAATAAAAATTTCTTCAAAAAATTTTCAGGTATTGATGTTTGATGCGTGTTATGGGAGAACCTGCTTGCACTATGCTGCTTACTATGGCCATTCTTCTTGCCTTAAGGCAATTCTTTCTGCTGCTCAATCTAGTCCAGTGGCTGCTTCTTGGTTGGTACTTTTTCTGTTCTAGCATAATTGATTCATGTGGGTGGTTTCTGAAAGTTTAAAGAGGAAAACGATTGAATTGATTGCAGGGGGTTTGCTCGGTTTGTGAATATTAGAGATGGTAGGGGTGCAACACCATTGCACTTGGCTGCCCGTCAAAGACGGTCTGAATGTGTACATATTCTATTGTGCAGTGGAGCTCTTGTTTCTGCTTCAACCGGAAGATACGGGTAATGATCTTTCAAGAGTAAATTACACCGACACCTTTGAGGTTTTCTGAGATTACATAGATCCTCTTACTTTTTTAACTTTTAGAGGGGTTACTTTAATGTCTAAGCCTCTAAGGAAAGGAGTATAGTTTAATGTTTTTTGAACAATTAAAAGAAGTTAGTATTCAGATAAAAAAATAGGTGTTCAAATCTTACGAAACCTCAAGAAGTATCTATGTAATTTACTCATCTTTCAAAGTTGTGGTTGTGACAAGCTTGAATTTGATGTAGTATTCATTTGTTTTGTGGAATAATGAATTGGTGTATGCAGTTGTCCTGGGAGCACTCCTCTTCATCTTGCAGCCAAAGGGGGTTCCTTGGATTGCATCCGCGAACTGTTGGCATGGGGTGCAGATCGCCTTCAACGTGATGCCTCTGGGTACAGTATAGCTTTTAATTACAATACAAACAAATTGATCTTTGATCTTATTCTTAATTTGACATTTGTTTTACTGGGCCCTCCCTCCTCTTGTATTCCCATTTGTCGTTTGAGTTTAATTTTGATGCTAACTCTCAACCACCAATATATGACTTTTAAAAGCAATTATCATATAAGTAAATTATTTCTAATGAGATGGCAATTCTAGATTTGTTGATAGTGTGAAAACTTTTTATGTTATGTGGTATTTGATTAAATTTTTATCAAATGGTCTTAAATCAGTTAGTTGAGTAAGATGACTGTGCTGTAAACACTCATAGTATTTGATTAAATTTTACGAAAACTAAAAATTAGAATTTGACTTGCAATGTTTTAGATTCTCATGGATTTCTGAATTGACATTCATACTGTATGTTTTGTTTATGCAGGCGGATACCATACATAGTTGCTCTGAAACATAGGCACGGCGCATGTGCAGCATTGCTGAATCTTTCATCTGCTGAGCCTCTTGTATGGCCATCATCTTTGAAAGTGATTAGTGAGCTTAATTCAGACGCCAAAGAATTATTAGAGAGAGCCTTGATGGACGCAAATAGGGAAAGGGAGAAAAATATATTGAAAGGGAGTGATTACTCTCTTTCATCTCCATCACACTCTGATGGGGTAGTAGAGGAAAATATCTCTGAGGTAACTTCACACCCTTTAAAAATTTACACCAACTTTTTGAGTTGGCTCTTTTCTTACATATTCAAATGCAATTGGATTGAATTATGGAAATTGGATAGATTTTTTTTTGTAAAATGTAGCAGCACTCTAATTTAATTTTGATAATTCAGGTTAGTGAGACTGAATTATGCTGCATCTGCTTTGAGCAAGTGTGTACAATTGAAGTTCAAGAGTGTGGTCACCAGATGTGTGCACAATGCACACTAGCCCTGTGTTGTCACAACAAGCCTAACCCTTCTACTTCTCGTGTTATCCCACCAGTTTGTCCGTTCTGCCGAAGCATCATAGCCAGATTGGTGGTTGTCAAAAAAGAAAGCCCTGATGAAATTGATCAAGATGGTGTTGATATCTCTTGTTCCAAGCCAAGCAAGTCAAGAAAAACTAGAAACATGAACGAGGGTGATAGCAGCAGCATCAAGGGACTATCAAGTGTGAACTCATTTGGAAAGATAGGTGGACGCAGCTCTGGAAAAATTGCTGCTGAAAATGAGTGGGAAGATGATAAACAGTAGTGATACGAATATGATGCTGTTATTGGTGTGGTGCTTATCAATAATTATTGCATATTGGTAAGATAAGGTAACGAGTTTTGCTTGATCGGCAAGGCAAAATGAAAATATAAAGAGTAAAGGGGAAATGTTCATTTTATTTTTGGAAACTAAGCAAAGTGAGTAAGGTTGGTGGGAAAGAGGTGCATCTCATGTAAATTGTAACATTATTATTACTTGGGAGAGAAGCATCGCCTGCATCGATGGTTTTGGGCGTCGTGGTTGGAATGAGAAATTCTTTTTCTCATAAATAGGCGTGAGTCTAAGATCATATGAAAATGTATTGTGTATTTGCTTCTGATTTGTTTCTTTATACCAAAATGAGCAATAAAATCATGAGGAAAGTCCTGTAGTTGCTGTTAATTGGTTGCCATGTGATTATGTCTGCGTCGGTTGAGTAATTTGTGCACTCATTGTACAAGAGGAACCTTACAAAGATACAATTAATATAACACAATCAGGACAAGTTCATGTGTCAGGATCACCTGCACCTGACTGGGCTCCAGATAACAAGTTGATGTGCAGAATTAGCATCATTGGTGCAATAACTGTAAATACTGATTAGCATCAACTCCTTTTCTGTTCTAATAATTTCGGACGGAAAGAGACTCTTACAAGCATTTTGCACAAAAATAGGGTGAAAAGTCATGTCATTATCATACATGGCCTTCACCAATCAATAAGGTCTAAAACTAGCACAGTTAGTAGTAAATGATTTGAGTTTATAGGTATTCAAACTTTTTTCTTAATTCGTAAGAATCGAACTCAATATCAAGAGATTATAACAATTCATATAACTCAATCAATTGAGTTAAACTCTTTAACGAGGGAATCTAGTATCTTATCCTAGTTATTTTACTTCATGTGTTTAAGAAAATCTTATTTCAGAATAAAGTAAGCATAATTTACTGGAAATTTATAATTTAGTTTAATGCGTCAGATATTTGTATTGACTAGATTATTTTATGCTAACTTGTGTCATTGATTTTCTTTCAATATACAAGTTGTTTTTAAACAATAATGATGCGTCCATGGCATTTGATATTAATATAATGTAGACATTAGCATTGGTTTCTGCTATGAAGCTACATACATGCACGAATATCTACAAAAATGGGTCATGTATTCTTGTACACAATCACATGCACCATTGTCAAGTGTTACTCACTGTGTACTTAAAAAATTAAATAATTAAGAATCTCGTAATGTTCCCATTTGGATCCAAATGAAAGGGGTTCCATATTCACATGATTCTGGATGGAAACGTGTCAGGTATGAAAACCAATAATACTTAAAAGTTGGAGATGCGATGTGCTGATCGTATACAGCAATCAATTCGATCAATCAGTATCCAAATTTTTTAAAAGTACGTTGAGCCATCAGAAAAGCATCATTCTCTAAACATTGAAGTTTTCACTGTTTTGGAAATTAGTTATAATGAGGTGACTTATTGCAGACAAATATACCTGCTTTTACTTCATGCTATTCTATTTGGAAAAAGATTCTTTCAGTTTTTAATTTAAAATAAATGACAGTATTCCGTATAAATTATCTTCATTTTTTTTCTTCTAGAATTATAATAATGGAAGGAGTTAAAAAAGAAAAATAATATATATTCTCGTGTTCAATTTCAGCGTCAACGACGATTATGTTATTGTAATTAAGCCATATTAGTCTGACACGATAAGTTGAAAAATATCCATGACGAAAAATAAAATAAAAGAAAAAGTATGCAGACATCCTTTTTATTTTCAGTCAATGGGTAGACCAATTCAAATTTGATACCGTGAAGGTAAGTTTGTTGACTAAAGTTTGTTGCTAAACTCAACTAGTGAGTAACATTCACGAAATTCATCGTCACAAGGAGATGTGTATTCTGTTCATGCTACGGGAAGTGAATCAAATTATTGATTTATTGGCCAAATCGATAATGCATTCATTTATTCACATTTTTATTTTATGTTGTACCGATTTTCATTCTCAATTCTCTAGTTTTGATTTTTCTTAGAGACACACAAAAAACGTAATGTGAGGTCTTATAATATTTTAGTATAACATATTCATGTCTTTATTTTATTGGTTTTGAGTTTATAATTTATAACTTGTTTATAACTTTATATTATTATACTTAAAATATATGCTAATAAATATGTATATAAATATTTAAAAATAGTTATAAATATTAACGCTTTTAAATAATTTTATATTCATGCATGTTTTATTATTTTTATCCACATATTTTAAATATTACATTTATAAATATATTTACACTTATATATTAATATCATTTTCTATAAAAATAAATATGTTTCCATCATAAAGGAAAAATGACTAACATTAACTATATAAAAGTAAGAAAGATTTGTTTGTTTTGAATTTATAGATTGTAATTAAAAATAATAATGATGAATATTAATAAACGACAATTCTTTTATAATAACTACCATTTTAGTCTGTGATGCATGTTTATTATATATAATTAAAATTTATAATAAATTATATATAAATAAATATATGTTTGAATATATAAATTATATTTTAAATTTATAATAAATAATTAGTATTGTAAATGAAAAATATTTTATTTATTAATAATTGCAAAATTAAATTTATGCATTCAAGAGAAAAATTAAAATTACTTTACATTGAGGACGACATGCGCATATATATCAGATCGAATATTTTTATATTAATCTTTTTTAAAAAGTGGAGACCCGCAAGCGATGCGTGTCCACGTTAAATGTCTATACTATATATATAGAAACTAATTTTTCTGCTATCATTTTGTTTAAGAAAACCCTGTTAGGAATCCGAGAACATTGAGAAACATAAACATTAATAAGTCGAAGCCAGCCAAATCTCAACCGAAAACCAAACACGCCCTTACAGAAACATATTTGTGCAAGTGAGTCAAATCATCTGTTACCGTACCCTGCGTTCTCTCTGTGGACTAGGGCTTGCAGTGATGGATATGAGAGGGAGCAATAGTGCCACTCACAATCACAAATAATGAATGTGCTTGTTCAGTGGTTTGAGTCGATACCAGCTGATTATATCAGGGCACATAAGAGGGTTTATCGGATTCTTTCTATTTTCGTTATAGCAACCATGAAATTGACCAAGGGAAGGGAAGGAGGATTCTTCTCATTACTCATACTTGTTACAACAATAATAATGTGTTTGTTTGATTTATCATTTCAAAACTATTTTCAATAAATTTTCATATATTTCAATACATAAATGTTTTTTTTTTGTCTAATTTGATAAAGACAAATTATTTTAAACATAACTGTTATGCAAACACAACAAAATTTAATTTAATTTTTAATTAATAAGAAACAGACTCATATTTTAAAAGAATGTGATGAGTTTTATTGATGTGAAAATTTTATTAATGAATAATTTATAAATATTTTCTATAAATGTTTATAGAATATTATTGAGACTTGTCCAAACTTTAGTAAATAAAATAAAGTAAACATGACTATAACAATGTATTTTCTTTTATTTAGTTGGAGAAGAAATAAAAAAGAAAATAAATAGATAAATTGACTATATTAAATAAAAAATTTAAATTATCTTTCTTCTCACTTTTCCTTTAATTTAAATTTTAAATCCTTTTCTCTTTCTTCACCTTTTTTCTCTTCGTTCAAAGCATATGACATGTTTAGAAGAGATGAAAACGGAGAAAAAAGAAGAAGAAAAAAATAAAAACAGAAGTAATGACATACATTTTTTTTCTTCTGTTTAATCAGATGAGAAAGTGAAACAAAAATTGACAAAACTGTTTTTCTTTTGACTTTCCTTCAATTTAATAAATTTCAATTTTTTCTTCTTCACTTTTCTTTTTGGACTAAACCGACGTAAAAATAATCTTGTCCTGAAAAATAATTATTAATATCAAAGATGCATTAGAGTCTGGTGACTCTAGTGATTGTAGTTAAAGTTAAAAAAGTATTGCCTTAATATTGAGGCAGAAAATTAAAAATGTGAAGAGAGAAGCATGCATTTGCAGTAATGGAGAAATTAAAAAAAAGAGGGAAAATGAAGGCATATTCTATTGTAGTCATGTCTGTCAGTATATCACATGACCTCTCTCAGTAATGGCTACGTACGGAGACACAAACAGGTTCATTGGTACTGCTGTTCGCAGGCATATTTCAAAACCTCAAAAGAAAACAATAAAAAAAAGTTACGTTTCTTTTCACCGACCTGTATCATGTGTGTCTAAATTTGATGAAGAATCACTGGAACATGTTGTTGGGGAACCAAAAAGTATCGTGTTGAGCGACGTTGACCCTCAACTGTTACATTTTCCTCACATTCATCTAAGCTCAGAGCCATGCATGATGCATCCTTCAACCTATAACATCAATCAATTGGTCCAAAGGTTTGGAGATAGCTCCAACCTCGTAGCAGACACCAGAACCAGATTAAATGAATTGTATTCATGAGAAACAATGATGTATCCATTAAACGCAGACCAGACCCACAACCTTTGCAATTATTATTATTGTAAGAAAAACAATAATAGAGTCATAGACCCACCACTAAAATCAGCGAGGGAAAAAAAACGAACCCGTAGGAGTAGGATGACTTGAGATGAAAATTCCAAAAGTAAAGGCAGGTAAAAGAGTACCTGCTTTGCCATGTTCTTGTCATGGCTAGCTTTTCAATATTTCAGATGTCAGATCAGATTTCAACGTAGGACTCGTCATTTTCTCTTCGTTTTGTTTTGTGCTGCAGGCCAAAGCTTGATTATCAACAACACTCAAAAGTTACTATCATTTCATATATCTGAGGTTAAAGAGAGAAATTATAGGCCACTACTTATCCATCACTACTGCTATTTACATAAGTATTATTATATTTTTTAAATTAAAAAAAACTTTATCTCATGCAATAATTAATGAAATTAACACTTCATAGTTTCCAACAATCTAGCTAGCAATTACCCGGTTAGAGGATTGCGGGCAAAAATGTACATCTAATTAATTAAATAATAATGATAATTAATGAAAATTACGCATGAGTTGTTTGATGATAATATATTATTTAAAGTTATCATGTGGTTTTAAGTTGTTTAAATTTAAAGAATATTACTTAACATATGTGTGTCCGAATAAAAAAGAGAATAAGAAATTGAAAGAATATATATTTGTGAACAAAACAACTTGTTGATAGAAATTTGCACTGGAATTAAAGAATTTGGATAATGTAGTCGTTGGAATGAGTCCACTAAACCGAACCAAGTCGAATCATCTATTTCTAGGTCCAATATTTTTTTTTTGTGAAAATAAAATAAAATAGGTCAATTTAGTCTGATCCAACATATTAGCAAATTGAACCAAAACTACAAAGCAAGTGACCTCTAAAAATATGGATCGTATCATACTAGTTCACATATATGTATAACTCATCCAACTGGGTCAGTTTCCCATCTTATCCTTAAAGGCTTAAAGCCCACAGGTTATATGCCTGTAAGCATGGGCTGTTCGTATGGCCCAACTAAATTTGGGCATGAAGCATTTATTATTTTATTTTTTCTGTTTTTGATGGTACATTTTTTAGGTGGATATTTTGTACAATGTTATTGATTGTAGTTAGTAAACTTATTTAAAAAATATTTTTTCATTAAATATTTTTATTTTTTATTCTGAAAGTACCGCTTTATATGAGACAAATACCCTTACTAATCCCATGCTTTATAAGATGCCGTTTAGAACTAGTTTTCACGTATTAAAAAGTAATTATTAATTTGGCTAAAAGTTTAATTTCTAACTATTTTGTGTGACCTTTTATCTTTACAAGTAAGGCTATGGTACCCACAAAATTGTGTGATGTGGAATGCAGACAGGCAGGCTGGTGAACACGAATATGGTTTTGTTCCCAAATTTTCGGCTAGTAAGATACAATCCAGTGGGTTGAAAATCCAGAACGAAAATTGAGGCCCATAATAAAAAGGGTGTGAAGGATAGAAGAAGTAATGGGAGCGCCAAATTTGGAGTGGGCCACAATTAAGTTTCACCTCACGTTTGATTTGGCAATAAAAGAAACAGGCTGTATCCGCGGAGGCACAGATCGAAGGGGACACGTGTCGCGAGGGAAAAGGAAATGGATGGTGGTGATGCGTTTAGAGGGTGAATGAAAAGCGGTACTTAAAAAAAGTCCTGAGAGGGCGTTGTTTTCCGTTCATCATAAGTTTTGAACCCAAAGAGCGGGCAGCTGAGATCGGAGAACTCTCTCTGTCTTTGAAACGCCATCTCCATCTCCTTCAGGTCACTCTCTCTTCTCTTCTCTTCTCTTCTCTTCTATTCGCCGTTAATTATCTCGCATTATGCTCTTGCCTGCTTCACTGCCTCTGATGATAGTTATTGTTCAATTCTGATTTTCATGTTCTTATTCACACGTGCGTTTATTGAATTCATGCAATCGGTGTTACGATTATGGAATTGGTTGCGTTTTTAATGTTATGCGCAAGTCTCTTTGATGAGATCGAAATCTGAAAGTGTATTTTCGTGTCTGGTTGTGTTTGTATATACGTCTTGTTAAAATCAGATGAACAAAGTGAGCTGCTGAAGCTTCCTGTTCGGTTCAACCGGTTCTATCTTTTTTCTTTTTTTTCCAATGAAATGAAAAATAATCATATAAACAGTTTTTATGAAGAATTTAATATCGATACGCGGTTAATGAAAATGGTTTTAGTGTTCGTAGGTTATGTATGACGTTTAATGCATTTATCATAAGAGTCAAATATCACAATTCAAGATTCTAAACTTTTACAGGATCATCGTATTCAAATTAAATTGAATTCATTTTGAATATTGAAAAAAAGAAGGTTTCTCACATGTATTGTCTGATATGAACAACAATGATTTTGATTTGTGTTTATAACGTTTCATATTATATTTTTTGCATCACGTGAAAATTGTGTTTATCTGTCTTTCAATAGATTTTTCCAAATTTTGACGGTGTTCTATCGGATTGATATATTCTTCACTTACATTTTCAACTTCACGAATCTAATCTTTCAAAAGTTTTTTTTATTAAGTTGAATTATGATTTTTTTTTTCGAAAACTAATCACCATCAGATGTGGAACTGCACTTTATGCAGTTCAATTATCGACTATAGGGGATCCAATTCCTGTTCTATCTATGTAAGGTGAATCTAGATTCTATATAGAGAGAGGACCAAGAATAAGTTTGCTTAGATTTGTTTCATTTAATAAATTAAAAGTTTTTAATACATTGATTAAGTCTACAAATTTTTAAATAATTTGAAAACTATTTGATATTACATTTCATTAAATAATTTTTAATTTTTTTTTAAATTTGCAAACTTGATCTATGTATTCAGAACATTTAATTCAATGATTGAGTTATTGAGTGACATAAGTTTATGTAAACTTATTTTTAAAGTAGTTAATGAAATGAGGTATTAAATAATTTTTAAATTCTTTTGAAATTTGCAAACTTAGATCTATGTATTAAAAAAAAACATTTAATTCAACAGTTGGATAATTAATATTATTGAGTGAAATAAGTTTAGGTAAACTTATTTTTAGAGTAAGTAAATCCCTTCATATATATATATATATATATATATATATATATAAAGAGAGAGAGAGAGAGAGAGAGAGAGAGAGAGAGAGAAAGAGGATTCAAATGATATTGATGTAATCGCTCAATAACTTTCAATTAAATGTAAATTTTGTTGATCCAATTGCTGAATTATAACTTCATATCACCTTGTATCAAATTTTGTTAAAATTGAATAACAATTTGAAGGCAATTAAATTATTGATATTTTAGTATATTTTGAAATGTATATATTATGTCAATTTAATTTTATAAAAATAAGGTATCAAATCATCTTTGATTAATGTGAATTTTTGTATATATGATCTAAAAATAAGGAATTTTCAATCTAACGATAAGTTTTTAAAAATTCATATTTAATTAAAGGTTATTGAACCGTGTAATAATTGGTAAAAGTTATACTGATGTCATTTGAACCCTTTTCAAATTTTTTAAACATTTGCAAACTTAATTTATGAATTAAGAATTTTAATTTTAACAATTAGATTGTTGAAATTTAATATAGAACATGAATTATTAAATAGAATAAATTTAGGTAGGCTTATTTATGAAATAAATGGATCTATCCTCGTGTGTATATATATATATATATATATATATATATATAAAATTGGATGACTGAGGCGAAGTGAAGTTATCAAGGAAAAGAATCATTCCCGTGATTTAGACCTCTTTATATCCTGAATTCTGTTAACATTATGTTGTAGCAGGGATCACTCTAACTGATGTTGCATGTGAAATGTCTTAGTTCTCATTGTGCTGAGAGATTTTTTTTTTTATTTTTTATTTTAATTTTTCAGCTCTTTAAATAAAAAAAATGGCAGACGGTGAGGATATTCAACCACTCGTCTGCGATAATGGGACAGGAATGGTTAAGGTATGATATCTGGTTGGTTTTATTTCTAATATTGTTTTGTTTCATAAAGTGATTGACTAGTAATTTTTGCATAAATGTGAATGGTGCCTCTCAATTTCTATTGATTTACTGCGAGTCTACTTTGTTGCAATGTTTAGGCTGGATTCGCTGGGGATGATGCTCCAAGGGCTGTGTTTCCCAGCATTGTTGGTCGTCCCCGTCACACAGGAGTGATGGTTGGCATGGGCCAAAAAGATGCATATGTTGGGGATGAAGCTCAGTCCAAGAGAGGTATATTGACTCTTAAATATCCCATTGAGCATGGAATTGTGAGCAACTGGGATGACATGGAGAAGATCTGGCATCACACCTTCTACAATGAACTCCGTGTTGCACCCGAGGAGCACCCAGTTCTTCTCACTGAAGCACCTCTCAACCCAAAAGCTAATCGTGAGAAAATGACCCAAATTATGTTTGAGACCTTCAATACCCCCGCCATGTATGTTGCCATCCAGGCTGTTCTTTCCTTGTATGCTAGTGGCCGTACAACTGGTTAGTCATTACTTCTTCAAGAATTTTATTCTGTCTCATCTATGCTACATTCTAAAGATGTTGAGCTGGTTCCTAATCTGACTAAGTAGTAGAGCTGATTTCTCTGAGGTTGTCTAACTTTGCTCGTTTCCTTCACTCTTGTTGAATTAATTTGTGCAGGTATCGTTCTTGACTCCGGAGATGGTGTCAGCCATACTGTCCCCATTTATGAGGGTTATGCTCTCCCTCATGCCATCCTCCGTCTTGACTTAGCAGGACGCGATCTCACTGATGCCCTAATGAAAATCCTTACGGAGCGTGGTTATTCATTCACCACCACAGCCGAGCGTGAAATTGTAAGGGATGTAAAGGAAAAGCTGGCTTATATTGCCCTTGATTATGAGCAAGAGCTTGAAACATCGAAAACTAGCTCTTCTGTTGAGAAGAGCTATGAGTTGCCTGATGGACAGGTCATCACCATTGGTGCAGAGCGTTTCCGATGCCCTGAGGTTCTCTTCCAACCATCCATGATCGGAATGGAAGCTGCTGGCATTCACGAGACCACTTACAATTCAATTATGAAGTGTGATGTGGATATTAGGAAGGACTTGTATGGAAACATCGTTCTCAGCGGTGGTTCTACCATGTTCCCTGGTATTGCTGACAGAATGAGCAAGGAAATATCAGCTTTGGCCCCAAGTAGCATGAAGATTAAGGTGGTTGCTCCACCTGAGAGAAAGTACAGTGTCTGGATTGGTGGCTCTATCTTGGCTTCTCTCAGCACCTTCCAACAGGTAGACATTTTGTTGCTATATTCTAATACATCATCATAATGGATTTTAATTCTTGAAATTGAGCAAATGTGTAAAGAAAGTAAAATTAATTAAGATTAGGAGATATTTTAATTGAAATCAACGCGATATATATCCTTACTTTCTCACTTTACACTTTAAAAGAAATAAATATAGTGCGAGTTGCATCATGTGGGGATACTAATATTAGGACTTGGGTGTTTGAAATGCAGATGTGGATTGCAAAGGCCGAGTACGACGAGGCTGGTCCGTCAATTGTACACAGGAAATGCTTCTAAATGCTGCTGCAGGTGGCTTTTTTGAAAGAAAATACGGCGTCCTCGTTTTATATTATAAAATGTGTTGTTATATCAATTAACTGAGTTGATGGCTGAGTAAATTCATTCATTTTTGTTTTATTATTGGCAATCGTTGAACGGTTGATATTTAGTTTTAATTCTAAATCAACGCCTTTCAACTTATAATTGCGTCCCCATCTCTTATTGAATCGGGTCCTGAATACTTAATATCCCATACAGATTTGGGCATGACATTTTATAAGTGTTAAGCGAAATGATAAATATGAAGTTTTATATATATATTTTTTATAATAACGTATGAAATATATATTAATTTTATTGATGACTAATATTTATTTAAGAATTTGATTAGTTATTATGATAAGTTATTAGTACTATTCAAATTAATAATTTATTGGTATTAAATGAATATTTTAAAATATAAATATTTATAATATAAAATTAGATTATAATTTATTTAAAAATGACATGTTTAATTATATTAAACAAATAATATAATGTTATATAACAAATCTTAAATTTTTCCTTCAATTTCTATACTATAATTTGTTACAAAGTGTTATATAAGTAACTTTGAGGATTAAAAGTGATATATTTTCAAATTAGAGAAAGCAAAATAGGATAAAGTTTTTAAAGGACTAAATCTAAACTTGAAAAATTTTATAAAAATCAAAAACATATTTTACTCTTTTATGAATATAATACATAAAAAAAACTAATAATAAAAAGATTTTATAATCGTATCATGATTTTACAATCGTATCACAATTTTATATTTAAAAATGAAAAAATAGGTATATAAGTTATAATTTTTTACTAAAATATATTTTTAGTTCATGTATAGTGAGAAAATTTTGATTTTAGTACCTATAAATATATTTTTTGTTTTTTTTCATCCATAAAAATTTGAAATTATACTTTTAGTCCATATTATCATGTGATCATTTTTAACTACTTATGTATTCATTACAAGATTAAATGATCATCTTAAATGATATTATAATTGTATGTGATATTATGTTAGCATATCACATATGTAAAAAAATTATAATTTTTTAAAATAAATGTTATTTATCAACTTTAAAATAAAACATTAGGAACTAAAACAATAAATTTAGATTTTAGAAGATGAAAAATAAAGAAAAATATTTATAAAAACCAAAATCAAAATTTATTCATTTCAATCACAACTATAATTCATCTCTATATCATGTTAATTTTAGGCAATCTGTCATTTTTAAATGACTTACCTATTTTTATTTTTATACAATATATTATTCAACTTTGTATCATTTATAAAAAAAAATATATAACTTTATAAACAATACTTCACAAATCTTACTTCTACATGTAAAAACAAACAAATTTAATGTAAAAGATTAGTTTAGTAAAGCAAGATAGATCTCGCATATGATAGGTTGTAGGTTTGAGTGACTTGTCCTTTTCAAGATAAGCTAAATGTGTACATATTTTTCAATTTTGGAAGTTTTAACTATCATGAGTTGTGATATTATTTCCTTTACCTAATTTTTTATTATGTAGAAAAGACTTATTTGTAGTTCCTAAACTACAATACAATCTTTTATTTATAAAGAAGGACAAATCTCATTATATGATATTTGCCTAATTTTATTTATGATGTCTTATTATAATTAATAAAATTTTATTATAAACATAATTACAAATTTTTATAATGATATTTTCTTAATTATATATATATATATTTTACCATTAAGAAATTTTTGAAGTAATAATAGAGACTTTATTAATATTTATCATTTTTCTTTATCTCATTTGTTAATGAAGCATTTGATTTTGTGAATTTTGGAGTGGAAAGAATAGAAGATATTAAAATTTTAGATCCGTTTGGAGGAGAAAATAGTTTACATGGGATCCACACAAAAATAACAATTCTTCCAAGCATGGACGGTTTGGAGAGCAGAGAATGATTTTTTAAGTATATAAAGTTAAGTCGCCTTTATTTTCTCTCTCTTTTTTTTAAACCAAATAAAAACATAAGTCTACACAAGGTATTGGGTGTATATATTTCATTTTTAAACTTAGTCTGTTTCAATTAACTTTCAATTCTACCAAAATCAATTACAAAATATGGTTAACGCTAAAGTAATAAATAGTCTTAACTCTTCAAATTTCACCATAATTTTTTAAGTTAAAATTGATTCTAGGAGTTATCCAAACTATATTATATTGCAGAATAAATTACATTACTTTTTCATAAGAGAGTATTACACATTTCTTCCTTCCAGTATTAAAATATTTAATTTAATTTATTTAACTTAATGTGATTAAAATAATTACACTCATCTTTTAAATAAATACAAATATTATACTACTATTTATTCATATATTAAAAAGTAATTCAGATTACATTTTTATTTTAAGAGATACATATCTTTCATTTTCTTATTATGTTAAAAATATATAGTTTATATATTTAACTCAATGTAACTAAATTATGGAATATTGTAAGGTTACCTTAAAATGAACGAAAAAAAAAACATTGATGAATGAAAAGGCAAAGGCAAAAGCTAAGGTTGTTTCCTCTGGACCACACAACACAGACACAGAAGAGAAGACAGAAGAAGTGAGACACCACACGGCATTCTAGTCAGTGCAAAAGTCAAGCCTTCCCTTTTTGAGTGAAGAGAAAATGATCACTCAAAATTTTCCATTTCCCACTGCTTCTCACACTTTTCCTTCAACAATGGACGTTTCTCAACCTTCACAACATGCCTTCTAACACCCCACATCATGGCCATGGATGAATATCAATGTGATCAGAACGTCCACGTGGCAGTTGGGAAGTCTATCAAGAAAGCTTCAACTTTGCTTCAATGGTGTTTCACCCATTTCAGCAAAGCACAAATTCGCTTAATTCATGTTTACCAACCTTCTACTAAGATCCCCACACTATGTAAGTCCTGCTCCGGTCTTTCATATTCATCTGTGTACTGTGTGTACTTCTGAATTTGGATTTTTTTTTTTCCTTTAAATTTTGCTGTGCCAATTTAGCTCTATTTCTAGTTTGGTAGGCATAAGGTTGATAATTTATTCATTTAAATATAGTATATTGGTTATTGAGAAATTTTCATCTTATCCCATGAAATGATTCATTTAAAGTTGAAATGTTATGCAGTAGGAAAATTGCCAGCATCCCATGCTAGTCCCGAAGTTGTGTCTGCTTATAGAATAGAGGAAAGAGAAGAGATCAAGAGGCTTATGGAGAAGTACTTGAGCCTTTGCCGTAAAGCTAAGGTATGCATGTATCTCTTTGCGTGTTTATAGTCATGGCAAATAAGAATTTAGAGCTTATCATTTTAATGCTGATGTATGTTTTTTCGTTATGGTTGGTTTTTTCTTAATTTCATTTATGAAGGAAGGAAGAAGTATGTATTAGTCACATTTTTAAGACCCTGTTAGTTATCATTCTGTTTTCAATTTTTCATGTTTTCTTCCTTCAGAATATGTGAATAATTATAACTGAAATTTGTTTTTGTTGAAATTATCACATGATGTACTCTATATAAAGCAATTTGTGGGAACATGGCAATTGTTAATGGTCTTTGTTAAAGTAATTTCTTTTCAGGTTAAGGCATCCAGTGTCATAGGTGAAGCTGATCAAGTCCAGAAAGGGATTGTTGATTTGGTTACTGTGCACAATATCAGGAAGCTTGTTATTGGAGCAATACCAGAAAAGTAAGCAATGCATTGACTGCCTATACATTCTTTTAGTCACAGGGAATTTTTTTTTGATCCTAGGAATGACAATAACTAACAACAAGGTTAGATTTTAAGATCCTGTGCATACTTTCTAAACCTAAATAATTGTTCCCCGTGAAGCCTAGACAAGAGGACACCGCATGAGATGGTTTCACAGGAAACAATTATTTACGCCTTAATAAAGTTGTCTAGTTTGTATACATTCAACTTGGTTTATTCACTCATGTATTCCATTCTAGTTGACAGGTTCTTATGGATCAGAAAATTTGATGTTATTCTGTTATGTATATGTCTGTCTTTTCTATAGAGACAGACATATCAATGCCTTCCTCTGCTCTTATAACTTGAACCATACTATCTACTTCAGTCATTTCCTTTTTAGTTTTGTACCTTTATTTCATAAAAGGGGTGAATAAATCTTTCCTTTTATAAAAACAATGGAAAAATGCAGTTGCATGAAAGTCAAAAGGAATTCCAGCAAAGCAAACTATGCTGCTCAAAATGCTCCTCCATTCTGTGAAATATGGTTTGTCTGTAAAGGCAAGCACATTTGGACAAGAGAAGCTTCTGAAACTCCTCGTTCTTTGTCTTCATGTGCTCAACCTAAGACTACAACTGCAGAGGGTTTGAGCTGTAGATCTTTTCAATATGGCACAAATGAATTACTCCATTCAGAATGTCTTCAATCAAATTCCACAATTATTGCAAGAAATATGGTTCAGAGGGAGATCATTGAAACAGAAGCTACTTTTTCATCCAAATCGTCCGGTTGTAATAGTCATGGTTCTCCCCAACATTCTGCTGGTTGGTATTTAGATACTCATCCAGAGTTTGAGGAAGAAACAATTGATAGTCAACTTATTGAAGCCAAAAGAGAAGCTAATGCGGCAACAGACGAGGCTCTTGCAGAGCTGTTGAAGAGCAAAAGGTTGGAAGTCAAAGCCACTGAAGCCATAAGTAAGGTAAGCATAACATAGTCTAAAAGTTCTGGACTTTTGATAGCACAGAAGCTTATTCACCTTGTTCTTATAATAAGGAAAGCCGCCAGAAAAGTTCTTACTTTCCATGAGGGATCAAGTATACTTTTTACATATCTAAGAAGCATTGATAACTTATTCCATGAAGATTCAAGAGAGAAGCCATCTGCAAGATACTGGGATTCTGTAAATTAATTTTTCTGAAACTTAAATGTTTTCTAGTCAAAATTCAATTTAAAGTGCCAAAATTTTATTGTTGAGGAATTTCAGGGACAGAACGCAATGCGAATTCATTGCATATCTTGAACTTAATGACTAGTGATGATATGTAATGTATAGTCTTTTGCTAATTTTTCTCAAGACTTCTGTTCCAACACAAGTTACATATTCTTTCTTCAGGTCAACTTGTTTGAATATGCCCATGCACAAGAAGTAAAGCTCAGAAAAGAGGCCGAGGATGCACTAAGAGCAACAATACAGGAGCAACAGATGTTCTTGGATGAGAAAGAAGAAATTGATAGTGATCTGGAAAGGATCATGAGAAGTATTTCCCTTCTAGGAAGTTGTGCACATGAAACCAATCATAAGCGAGAAGAAGCTGCAAATGAACTATTACTAATTCAAGCATCCATCTCAAACCTGCGGCATGAAAAACAGCAAATCAGGCGACAGAAAATGGAAGCCCTACACTGGCTTGAGCGGTGGAAAAGTTGCGAACAAGTTGAAGCAGATCACTGCAATGGGGTCATTGGCTTTGCTGAAGAATTCCCTGAGCTTTCTGAATTTTCATTATCAGATCTTCAAAATGCCACATGCAATTTTTCTGAGAGTTTCAAAATTAAGGAGGGTGGATATGGTTCTATTTATAAGGGCGAAATGTTAGGTAGAACAGTTGCTATAAGGAAGCTCCATCCACACAACATGCAAGGATCAACAGAGTTTCATCAAGAGGTCGGTTCTCCCATAACAGTCTTTCTTCTTTTGAAGTAGATGTCTTAAATTCTTTAGAGCTTGAGAGGATCAGTGGCTGAAACATAATTTAGAGGCTTTTGGATTTTTAATTGGTTTCACAGCTAGGACATCCACAATTCATCTCCTATCAATCCTTTAAAGTTAATCAAACTATCTCCCATGCTAGCTTGTCTTACAAACACAAGTAGATCTAAGTCCAATCCTATGAATGTATATCCTTGACATAATTTGGCATGCTCTTGATTTTTATAGATTAAATACCGCCTAGTTAGGTATATCTACAAATACACTCATTGAGGAAGGTGTGCTTTTTCCGAAGCAATTTACACAACCATAAATTTTCTTCAAGATATAGTTAACAATTTGTTCTCGGTATTTTTCTCTTTTTACAATATTAAATGCTTTTATGGAGAAGGACATTAAGCTTTTCTAATGACTGGGTCCTGCAGAAACAGCAAGAAAAGCCTTATCCCACTCGGTGAGGTCGGTTAGATGGATCATAAGATGCTATTAGGCTCAGTTAAAGACTAAATCCTCAAAGATATTATTCATCATAAGATCCCTCTTAACAACTTCCTTTATGTCCCTCTTGGTTTCCTTCTCCCCTTTCTACAAGATTAAAAACCATGCAATCTACTCTCCTCATTGATACTTCTAGTAGCTTTCTATATATGTATTCAAACCACCTTAACCGAATTTCTATCATTTTTTGCTCAATTGATGCCACACCAATATCTCCTTGCATATAATCATATCATTTTTTGTGTAGCCACACATTATCTTAACATTCTCACTTATGCTACTTTCACCTCTTTTTTTTTTTTTTTTTTTTTTTTTTTTTTTT